TTTTTGTTTGCGGGGGGGGGGGGGTAGGGTAGGTTTATGAAGAAGGAAACTGGTTTGAATGGTTTAATAATAAGAGTGATAAGTGAGGGATTTAGACAAGACACTGGGTGGGAAAAGTTTTCTTTATAATTGGGAAAATGGGGGAAAAACATAAACTTGAAATATAGTATGTATATATATAATCGGATAATTACGATTCAAAATCAATAATAAAAAAGGTGAGTGATGAAAAACATGTAGACCAAATTCAAAGAAATGTATAACACAAATGGGCGTGGAATTAATAAAGAAAAGACAAGAGAGTTTCAAACATCGTAACGGTGGCTCTCTTTGTCAGTCCACTCCGAAATTTCTACGGTCTAAGCAACAGTGACGGAGGGATGGGCCACCCGATGCCGGGCTTCTCTTGAGTTTTCTCTTGTGCAGAAAGGAATCGAAGGTTGCCCCTATAATTTTTTTTTTATAAAATATAAGCTCTCATGTTATAAAAATATGTGTGTGTGTGTGATTTAAAATTCATGACAAATCGTTTTAGCATGTAAAAATGTTATAATTAGGAACAAATATTTAACAATAACTACGGTTCGTTTTTAGTCTGTAACAGTAGTGAGACGCGTGGGGAGAGAGGGTGAAAAGGGTCGGTGGTGGGAGAACATGACCCAACAGTAGACTCTGTAGACTTACTTGACGATGTTCGGTAAACATTACAACTTTTGGTTTTGAAAAATATGATAGATCATGTCCTCAATCTAAACGTGATGCTGTTTACTATTACGATATTGCCCCTACGATGCTTAATGCCATTGATTGGTGTGGTTGAGCAATCAATGACTTGTTTTGTAACAGTGACACGAAACCATGAAAAGGCAAGTTTAAAAAAAATTAAATGTATATCATCTCTCTTTATTTTATTTTTTGTTTTGGAAAAATTACGGAAGCTGCATGTTGAATATTGTACAAGCTCACCTTTTTTGTTTTTTGTTTTTTTTTTTCGATAATCCGAAAGTTCACCGTAACTTTGGCCCGACTACATCTTCCAGAGGACCGGAAAAACCAGATGAATGCTCATCCCCACATTTGAATTTAAATCCAGAATGATAGCATACTTTGCATGTTCTCTCGTCATTACATCATCCAAGCTGCTTGAGTAGCTCACTTTTTTGTTGTTATTGAATTAAAACGATAACTGTATTTGAAAGCGTTACCATCCCTAGAAGCAAACAAACGGTCCATACCATTTGAAACCAATGACGTCACCCCATATGGTCGACGGAACAACATACATATTTATAAACCCCCCAATTGTTTCTATTTAAGATATGTATACCAACGTTAAATTAGTTGGATAAACGAATGTTGAGCGATTTACAAGGAAGGAAACGAATTGACAGAGAAGGGCATGAAATCATTTTGACGCTTCCCTAAGAAAACAAAAGGGAGTTTGCTATTCGTCAAAAAAGGCTTTCCATCTGTTCAACGAACAAGGAAGAGTTGTACACGCAAGAGTATGTTCGGCTTTCAGACATCCCCAAATCCAGCTTGCCGTTTCTGAGATGCCCTACGAATACATTCGATTTTTTTTTATTTGTGTATAAATACCGAAAAAGAAAAAAGACGATGGTACTACTTCTCCTTTAACCATTGGCTCTTTATGCGTACTTTGTGTGTGTGTGTGGGTACCAATACACAGAGACCGAGATCAATGTCTCGTGCGTGTATAAGAAGGCAGACCAAAAGGACTTAATATAAATCATACAAAAAGAACAGAACCCTCAAATCCCGGTTGACATGCATACAATACAACAGCACGACACAAGAGCCTTGACGAGGAGGACGCGACTCACCCAACAAGAAGCTTTTTAATTCCGGCCTTCTGCTCCGGCGTCAATCTTGTCGGGAATTTGATGTTGAACTTTATCCTTAGGTTGCCTTTCTTCGTCGGATCTTTCTGATGCGGCATTCCAAAAGTTCGCCAATCATGTCCTCTGTCTTAACCCGACCCGGCCCGTACAAGCTTTCATGACACTCTCAAACGCAGAACCAATGGCGTTTAGAAGAGAGAATCAAACGCAGCTCTCCTGATCGTAAACGTCGTCGGTGTAGTAAGGATTCCTTCCCTCGCCACCACCTCCTCATACTCCGGGTGGATCACGTTGTTTATCGGTATGCTCAGTCTCCGACCATCTAGCATCGTCAGGTTGACCGTGCAGCCTGTCAGGGCCTCCGCCAGGGAGACCTTTTGCGTGGCGATCAAGTCATTTCCTTCCCGGGTGAATACAGGATGAGGCTTCTCATCGATGATGAAGACGAGGTCAGACGGGATCACGCCGGGCTGCTCGTTCCCTTTCTCCGGGAAAGTAATCTTTGTGCCTTTCTTCCACCCAGGTTTCACATCTATCGTCAGAATTTCTTCCACCTTCATCGTTTTACTGCATAAAGGGAACATCTTTTAAGGTTCCGGCAAAAACCCATCTCGATCAAATGTTTCCCTAAACACGAAAAGCAGTATCAGCCAGCACACTTACCCGCTAACATCAGCGATCTCTCTGGAGATTTTCATCTTCTTGGTGGTTCCCTTGTAGAGCTCTTCGAGGCTACAGGGCAATTTATTCTCTATTGAAGCAGCTTTCCTTGCTCCACCACCACCATGATGCATACCTCCCTCTCCGAATGAGGCAAACATATCATCCCCAAACATGCTGCTGGAGAATCTTGATCCTCTGCCCCCACCAAATGGGCTCGAGAACCCAAAGAACTCGGCAAATATGTCGTCTGCGCTTCTCGGGTTGAACCTGAAGGATGTGGGACCATCCCCTGTTGAGAAGTATGTGGCTCCACCACCAGGCCCCCCTGCTTCAGGAGGCGGTACATTACCCTTCAATCCTTCCTCCCCGTATTGATCGTATATCGCTCTCTTCTGTGGATCGCTGAGAACCTGAATGCATTTTGACGACAACACAAGAACGCAGTTAGACACGATAAAACCTTAGCGTTCAAATGGCAAGAAAAGCCTGTAAGGTGATCAGCCTTCAAACATTCTTTCTCCCAAGCTAAACCGCAAATGAGATTACAGCTGCACGATGTAAGCAACCAAAAACAAGGACTTCAGCGACTACGATGTCTTTTGAATTCAGTCCAACACTTGGATCGATCAAAATCACAACTTGGGACACATTCAGAGGGCAGAGAGCAAACAAAAGTAGCAAGAGTAAGAATTGATAGCTAAAGAAGAGCCACCGCAATCACTAAAAGACATGATATCAACGATAAAACGAAGATCCCAAAAACAAATAGAATAGATGACCAAGTTATTATCACAACGAAGCCATCATCTTTCGCCCGGACTATGCTTGAATTACTTAGTAACACAAGGGGAAGAAACCCTCAAGCATAATCCAGATAAAACTCGGACACAAGAAATGGTTGCACAGGAAAAAAAACTGTCTGCTTTATCTCCGCCGATACAAGGACAACATATTCCGGGCAACAACCAGACCAGAGAACGGGGCAATCACGCGGAGATCATAAATTAGAAAAATAAAACAACTTGCGACCGAATTCAATCAATACGCGAGATTTTTTTTTTTATTTTTTTTGGCAGAAATTCATGTAGCAGAAGATGATGGTGAACCACATAAGTACCTCGTAAGCTTCGGAGATCTGCTTGAACTTGGCTTCAGCCTCATTTTTGTTGTTGGGGTTCTTGTCAGGATGCCATTTCATGGCGAGTTTTCTGTAAGCTTTCTTGAGATCATCATCCTTGGCGTTGCGATCGACCTGAAGGAGCTTGTAGTAATCCACTCCCATCCCACCCTCCGATTCTCTCTTCCGCTTCTTCACTTTCGCCTAATTTTCTGTCTCTGCTCTCAGAGATTCAGATAAAGCTTCGACTTGTCTTCTTCCTCTGCGCTTCATAGCTTGTCTTAAAAAACCGACGCAATGTTTCTTCTCAGCGTCTGGAGAATTCCGTCGAAGGTTCCAGAAATTGCTGTTTTATCTGCTTCTCCATGCCTTGAGTTACGGGGCTGTGACGCGTGTTCTCATCACGGCTCGCGAAATAACAATATTGTATCAAATATTGTGAAATTTGGGTCGCCATGTTACCATGTAGGGTTTGTTCCGTGAATTTGTACGGACAGCTAACCAACAGGTAAATTGTGAAAAAAGGGTGTGGTCCTTGATCTCGATTAGGTGCTGCTCGATCTAATTTAAAATTAATGTTTGTTTACCTTTTGTAAGATTAATTTTAAACACAAAAATTATATTTTGTTATTTCAAAAAAATAAACAAAAATGAGAGATTAAGGTAAATACCATGTATAGAAACAGAGATATAATATGATTCGTATTCTGCTTTACATCTCAAACTTTAGAAAATAATTAGCTTCGAAAATTAAACAAAAATCATAGCGAAAATATCAGGTTCGGACACCACGTTAATTTTTCAATCACAGCCCTTTTAGGGAATGATGGGCCCATTATATGCAAATCCAACTGTGCTAGTTGGGCCGAAAGAGTAGGCCCATCTCTCTCTCTCTCTCTCTCCCAACACGCGTACACATTGCTAGATCTCTCTCTTTGGTTTGGTCGGAACTCAGAAGCGAACGGAATGCTTGGAATACGAATCAATGAAGCAAGATGGTTTATGAAAACAACAGTTGAGGACTAACAAGGAATGGAATGGATGAACCAACGGATGACTTTAACAGGGAGCTTGATCAGATCCATGGCGAAATTCGCCAGCGAAGCGCAGCAGATGCAGCATGGGCACACGCAACTCACTATGCTCCTGCGCACATTGACTCCCCAATTTACGAATCTGACGGAAGAGAAACAACAACAAGAGGCACGCACAGATCCGGATATATATATGTATATAGAGAGAGAGAGAGTACAGACCCCAAGATCCAGATGACAGCACCGACGAGAGACAGGGCGAGAGCGATCAGGGCGAAGGGTAGCCCCAGCAAGAAACCCAGTGGCCTGCATTCCCCCATTCTCTCTCTCTCTCTCTCCTCTTCCCCCCCTTGGATTCCCGACGTCTTTCAAACCCACAAAGAAAAAGGAGAGGTTTTTCTTGTAAATGGAGAATAAAATATAAAACAAAAGGATTATGAATGATTCCTGATGATGATGATTATCATAAACAAGTTGTAACCGCTACCCCAGCCGCCCTCCACACTTTACTGGAATGACGAAACTGCCCTCTCCCCTTCTTCATTTGACTGTGTGCCGTGTCCGCCTTTTCTTCCGGTCAACGACGACACACAGCAAAAAAAAAAGGGAAATACTGTAAATTTTTTTTTAAAAAAAAGAAGAACCGAATTCTATCATATTTTGGATGAAATAATAAAAGAAAATCCTAAAAAAATTACTGAATTTTGAAATAGTTATCATATTAACGGATGATATGACGTATCGATTTTTGGTCAAGTCATCCACCATATATCAATGTAACGTCAGATCATTTGTTAATTTTTCTAACGCTGTTTATCATGGATAAGATTCAGTATTTTTTGTTTGAATTCATATTTATTAATATGATAATTATGTCAAAGTGATATTTTTTTTAAATATTTTCCAAAAACAAAATTACACTGGAAATGGGTTGAGGCCCATAGGCTTTTTTTGGGGGAATAGAGACATGACATGACTAAGCTCATAAGCCCACACATCCCTCTTCCTTGCAAGTTTGTATTCCCACGCAGAATAATCAAAGAGCCTTTGCGGCATAGGGTTTTTCTGTAAACCTCGTAAGCTTAGTACCGATGGCCACCGCCTCCGTCGCCAGATCGATCTTCCGAGCAACGTCCTCTCGCACCACCGCAACCGCCGGTCGATTTTCCTCTCAAGCTAAATCGGCTCCTTCTATGTTTCGCTCCACCTCCAGAAGAAGCTCTCTTATCCCCTCTCTTCGGTCAGTCCTACGAGCTTCAATCTCGTACCCATTTCCCATACTTCTGATCGGATTTATGCGATTCGGATTGCGTTTCGAAAAACACTGATATGAATATCAAATGTCCTGAGAGATGCATTGCTTGAACTCTCGAAACCTAAGCAAGCATATATTCTGTCATACATTAGGAGAGAAAAAATGAAAACTTTTTCCAGTCCCAGTTCGAGATTTCTGTATTTTACTTTATCTAGTGAAATTCACAGCACAACTGTTTATGGGTTCACTAAATGTTCTGAAAATAGCTTAACTTTGATTTGTTCTATGATGTAGATCTCCAGTCCAACTGAGCTTCTGTGCGGAGTCCATGTTACCATACCACACTGCCACAGCCTCAGCACTGATGACTTCAATGCTTTCAATCTCTGGCTGTAGCTACGGATGGCTCTCAGACGGTACTTTCACATCCTTATTCATTCTGTAAATGCATGTACCTGAGTTGGTTTTCTTTTATGCGAGGATTCGCTTTGGTTCTCTGTACTGTTTTGATCTATGCCATGTTACCAGAACTATCACCTGCTAATACTGGTCAATCCCTTGTGATTTCATTCGTCTGTTTTACTTAATAGTGGGTGATGTTATGGCTTTGTTTGTTGGTTTGGAGTTGTCTTATTAATCTGCTAAAGCCCTTACTCAGAAATGTAGTCTGGCTTTTGGTTTACTGAATGATTTGCTTGCGTTTCTTGAATTGGATGTTCTGATCGCTCCACAATGTTCTTCCCTGTCGTGGTTGGGGGTCGGCCAAAAATTAGGAATGCAGTTTAGAGAGCTTTATCAGATGTGGGTATGTAGGTGTCTTGGAAATAGGTTTGCATCTAGAGCATCTCTATCAACAGCAAGAAGCAAATCTACTTTTTTTTGTGTGTGTTTTCAACGTAGTCCATGGAAAGAGATACCTCAAAAGGTCTAGTGTTTAATGTTGTAGGTAGAAAGAAGACTAGATGAAGACGGAGAAGCCAAGATGTGGGATGTCTTACAAATTCGTGTTATGAACTAAGTAGGATTAGATAAACATTTGCTGTTTTATTGAATGATCTGTGCTGATTCTTGCATATTGGAAGTCAACAATGAAGATTAGTTTCATTAGTTTCTTGGTTCATACATCAACAGTTATCAGTTTTGTCCTATTCTTGTGGCGGGTTATTGATTTGAGACCATTTGCAGAGATCTCGTGAAGGAATCATAACTGATTGATCTTATACTGCTTCAGCTTGCAATGATGATGTGTGATGAATTTGTCAAGGGGATCACTGAAGCCACAGTTTATGTACAAAAAAACTTCATTCATAAGGCTGTGTTACTTATGGGAAATTATGTAGAAAAACTCACGTTCGAGTTTCTTAGATTGATGTTTTTTTTAAAAAAAAAAAAATCAAAGCCCACAAGACCATTCGTATTTCCGAAACTTGGCAAACTGATGTCTCTCGTCTGTTGAATCAGCTTGCAATGACGACTTATGAAGGCGAATCATGGACAAGGTTTCAGAGATTTTGGATGAGAAACAATGACAGAGATGTAAAATTCAGAACATCTTCTTTGTTCAGAAGCCATTTGTTGCGTTTAATAAAAAAAAACCATAATATGCATTATGCATTTGTTATATCATGAAATGGGTTAAGATAATAGAACAAAACAAAAGTTCACATCTTTTTCATATCAGTTGGCAAGTGATGTGGGAACACAACACCCACACAGGTATCAAAAGGGCCATCACAAAAGAAAACGACCTCAACGGTCAACGTATGAGCTGCTCCACTTTCACGAACACAGGGTTACGCTTCCGTCGTCCCCACTGGCACCAAAACTTACGCAAGCCTCTCTAAGAATTCGGAAAAAGATCGACGGATCAAAGGGGAGACGGAGGTAGGAGGGGTTAGGGTTTATAATCTCGCTGGACGGCGATTGGGAAACGATTGTCTACTGAGCATGCCATTTCTGATTGGATTGCCAGGAGTTGTGTTTACAAAAAAGAAAAACATCACTGTAGCTTCTTTGATCCTTTAGGCACTGAAACTACAACCAATGACAGTTCTTTCTGTGGTTCTTCTTGTTGGGCATCTACTTCTTCTGCAACAGGATTGACCTCTACATTTTGCTTCATGCACCGCAGTATTACCACCGCTATAAACACTGCAAAAAGAAAAGAAAAAAATCAAACATTTGGCTTCAATGTCTTTATCAAACATGAAGCGATCCAAATTATATACCTGCGAAAATACGAGTTCTGACACTAGTCAGTTTCCAGAAAGCTGTAATGGCAGAGAAGGCCACCATCTTCTTGTGTGAACAACCTCTCAACGCTTCGACTATCCTCCTTTTCATTCTTTCCACTGCACAATTTCAACATCAGCAGAAGAATCACAACACAAAGATATTGGAAAAAGGAACGACGCTTGAAAAGGAACAGCGCTCTTAGCGTTGGGTTTTCGGAGGCCTGACTCAACTTCGTCATTGTTGGAGGATTGGTACCATCTTGACATATACCACCGAAGTGTAGCTGCTATTACTTAATCTTTATTAGACTATGCTCATGTCCCAGTTATGGGTTTTTGTATTACCACTTACCATGGATCCCAGGTTCTTTTGGGTTTTGCCGATTAAAATCCGAATTGTAAATTTTTCTAACTTTTACAATTAATATACTTCACGTTTCATAAAAAAAAAAAACTTGTTTTCCGCACCTTTTTGGTTAATGTGAGCACTGTAGCACGAATAGAGCTTTGGGACGGTGAAGCTGAGGAAAAACCCTGTTTCAGGAACACACACACACACACCTATGTATCAATCCAGAGAGAGCTACGAAAGAAACAAAGGGTCTTGTCTGTGTTAATGAAGAAGAACACCGTTCAGTCAAAAGTGTTACAAAATCATACCAATAGCGCATAGCCTCCACAATGTTATCAAGTGACCATACTCAGCTCCAATTAGCAGAAATGGTGTCACCTGTAAGTAACAGAGCCAAAATTTAGACGTATTCCTCTCCCTATTCTCCTTATTAATCAACCAAGGGCTGTGAAAATGTGATCAAAATTAACCAAGGGATATCCAGATTCCGGATTCAAAGTTAAAAACTTTGTTGCCTAGATGCAGAATTGAAAATGTCATGGATGGCTTTACTTTGAGTGTCATGGATGGCTCTCCTGAGAAGAGCTCTCTCGTCTTTGAAATTGCAAAGTTGGTTGCCGGAAGCACACGCCTGGCTATGCGCAAAATGTCCTCTTCCCTCACATGAAATTCTCGCCTCGTCTCTTCCTTGTTCCTGAAAACAAACTAACGGATCAGACTCTTGATTCATCATACACCCAAGAACATTACCAGAAAACAAGCCGGGTTATGCATATACGTACCTTTGACGGAGAGTGTTTGACAAGAATGATGCACCAAGAAGCAGAAGGCCGAGGTGGGAAACCACTGAGAAAACACTTCAAAAATCAAAATTTCCAATTTTTTAGGTGCTTCTTGTCTCAGAAATGTGACAACTGGCTATCTGAATCAGGGAAAGGAGGAACAACGAACCTAAAGCTGACTCCCTTGGTAAAGCAAGAAGATAAGAAACACAAACATCCGAAACCAAACCAGAGGGTCGATTTGGCAGCGTCTCTCCACATGACCAAATCACTGACAATCGCCCCAATTCTATCCAAATCGCCTTGGCAAACATCTTCGTCTATCCACAAAAATAGTACAGAGACATGAACAAACAAGGCGAAATCAACAGACAACCAAATCATCGCAGACACAAAGCGCAGAAACAAAACGAGATATTAACTAGAGTGCATACCTGGGATTGAAGATGAACAAGGAGAAGGTAACAAAGGTGCTGAACTTTGTTTCTCCTTCTTAGACCGAACGCTCGTCTTTCGTCTCCTTGGCTTTAGGGTTTCATCGATGACGACGTTCGGTTCCTTATCTTCCTTCATCTCCACCGCCTCAGTTCGCCTCCTCGATCTGCGGGCGTTCCTCGGGGAAGCACAAGCCAAAAGACCCTTTTGCCCTCCCTTCGTCTTGCACCGCTTGCGCACGGCCCCGGCGGGCTCCGGAGCTTCGTCTATGGCCATTTCAAGCTTATCAGCCAAACGGGTTCTCGATTTGCGGAGAGGAGAAGGAGATAATAGGAGGAGTTCGCGAACTGGAACGGGAGAATAAGAGGATCTGAGGGAGGCGGGTGATGGGTAGGGAGTGTCGTTGTTCTTCGGAGACGGTAGAGCTAGATCAAGAGAGGGATTTGGCGGTTGTTGGTTCGATTCGGAAATTCGAGCAAGACGCGAAGCTGATTTAGGGTTCGAACGATGGGAAGGAGGCGTAGACTCCATTTATTAAGAGAACGGGTGACGGATATGGAGCTCTGTTGGGATGGGGGGAGGAAATCTGAAGTCAAAGAAGGAAAATTGGAGAGAATCCTCCTATGATGGTTTTGTGAAATGGGTGTTTCGATGGTTTTGCTCAGATATCTGGAAAACTGGACAACTTTCTTCGTTCGACTGTGGATCAGAGAGCCGTTGGAGAAAAGGTGAAGACAAAAGAAGAAAAAGTAAGGGACTTGTCTATTTGAATGTTGACGGCGGCAAATGGGTGCGTCCATTTTAACGGTAAAATGATGTTTATTGGGCTTGGGCTTCCAACGGTGTAAATTATGAAAGGAAAGAGTTTGGTCTGATAGAGGAGTGGGCAAATTGAGAGAGATTTATCACTTTGGACCTTTTGAGACGGCCCCTCTGGTAGTTTGGTTTGGGAAGAAATAGATACATAAGATGTATTCAAAGAGCAAACTGGTTATCACATCATATACACATCTCACCACAACCTGGGGGCATTTATGTCTCTCCTTTTGTATGTCTCTCAGTAAACACGTGTCATTATATTTATACATATGGACAGAAGCTTTCGGGAAAATATTCTTTAGACAGAGAGAGAGAGAGAGAGAGATTGGGTCACTGAAACTTTACAACGATGCAGGAGATGTCGTCTTTGCTCTTCTTAGAGATGGCTGTCTCTATCAAGTGTTTGGCTGCCGCCTGCGGATCTTTTATGCTCCTTATGGCTTCCACCGCTTCCTCGTTCGACATTACCTGCTTGTTGTTCCGTTCATCAACTCTTATGCTAATCATAACGAATGACAGTACATATCATTACACCAACCTTCCATATGCCGTCGCTTGCGAAAATGATGAACTCCGTCTCATCGTCAATGGTTTCGTGCTCAATGTCTGGCTCCGAGCTCAGATGTATCTTCAAGCTCTTGTCCCCAAATGCCCTCGCCACCGCCAGCTGCCCATCCACACGTGGAACATCCCCTGCAATTAAATAACAACTTTTAAAATTATGATCGTCATTCCCACGAGACGAGCAGCAAGAGACAATAACCCCACCTGGAATGTTTGATACAAAGCCACCTCGGCTCTCTATATCCCTTTTCTCCCGGCTTGGTTCATGGTCTATCGAAAGCTGCTTCGCTCCACCACTCTTTGAAATCACGGCTCTCGAGTCCCCAACGTTAGCTACCACTAGCTTTTGCCCGTCAATCAGAATACCCGTCACAGCCGTTGATCCGCCTTTTCCGAGCTGAAACGACTGCTGTAATATCTCAGCATCGGTGGATCTGTATGCGTTCCTTATGGCTTTCTCCGTGTCAGTCCAAAACTCCTTCTGAGAGGTCACCACATTGCACGATTCACAAATCAAAGAATGCTAAGCCCATAACACAGCTCTTGGCAGAAGCTAACCTCTTTGAGGATGTTGTCAAAGAGATGGGTCTGCAAGTACTTGGCGACGTCGTGTCCCAAGTGACCGTCAAAGATTGCGAATAAGCCCAATTCATGCCCATGGACTTTCTTGAACTCGGCTACCACATAGTCCTCCATTGGATGGCTGGATTTCCCTTTTACACAATGAAACCCATGTACTATGTTCTTCGACACCTTGCTCTTGCCTCTGCCCATGTCGGGGGCTGATCCGCAAAACCCCGCCTTCACCTGTATATTGTGTTATAACGATAACACGATAGGGAGATTCAAGGATTTTGTTTACACAAGACTCTTCAAAATAATTGGACACAAAACACTAGTACACTTCAACTTCTATTCTTTTTTTACACCTAGACCAGCATATTACTACAAAACCCTAAGTAGAAAACGCAGACACGAATAATAAGATCTAGACGCAGGTTGTCCGAATTCTGTCTATAAGACTACGTAGGTGTCGAATCTGTTAATTTATCACCACATACCCATGAACGATCAGTGCTCAGAATCACAGTTCACTAAGACGAGCATTTTGTTTTCAAGTTTTGCAACTAATCGTATCGATGAATTTCTCATTTAAAAAACTCCGTCGATGAAATCGCTGACGGCAAAAAGGAGCAAACTTCGGCTCCAGCCAGACGAGGAACGGATCTTCGTTCCTTCAGAGGGATAAGGGAAACAGCTAAAACGATCAAACCGCGGCCAGACGACAAAAGGGTATCGGAAATTAAAAAAAAAAACACCCAGTAAATTTGAGCAAGATCAAGCACAGGAAAGACGAAATCAACGGAAGCTCGCAGTATAGTACCTTCATTTTGTGAAGAATTTCTCTGCCATTCATCCTGATCGATCAGCCCCTGGGTTCGTGCGATTGATTGATCTCGACGAGAGAGGAGCAATCCAGAGAGAATAAAGGGGAGTGAAAAGGTTTTGACTTTGGGGTAATGACACGTGAACTACTCCTGTTAAACCATCCGCTGAGTCGCCCCATGCCAACGCGGTCTCGCCTACGACTTTTCTTCGCCCCTTTGTTTGCTGTGCTTTCTTTTATTTTCTTTTTCATTTTTTTTTCCTGGAGGGAGGAAGAATATAATCCTCTGTCCCTTTATGATCTGTCTGTAAACCGATCTTTCAAGATTCGGATATTGTTGATCTTACTAAATCTTTTGTATATGTTTAAAATTTTATAAACCGGTCTTTTTGCAATCTGCCTTCCAACTGTTTCGTTGGCTGTGAACCATCGCAGACGTACAATAATGAATCCTCCAAAAACTAACCAGTTCGGACAATTTAGTATACAACGAATGCATGAGGCTCTTAATTTTTGGCAGGGTGTCAATACGAGCCCGGCTCGCGAGTTGGCTCGTGGCTCGCCAGAAAACGAGCGATTTGAGCCGTAATTTTTTCAGCTCATTAAAAAACGAGTCTAACGAAGGCTGTTGAACTGCTCAACGAGTTGGTATTTTTTTTAAAATAAATTAAATTTATATAAAAAAACTTTAATATAATTTTATATTAATTTTTTTCATATCATTTATATGATATTATAAATATACTAAATGATATTATAAATATACTAATTATTATGATGGTGATAATTGAAAATATTTAAATGATATTGGTGTTTTATTAAATTTTTCTGTATTTATTTAAATTTATAATTATATTTAAAATAAATATAAATAAAAAATATTATATATCTATGGCTCAATGAGTCGGTTCATTTAGATCGGAAAACTGACGAGCGATCAGAACCGAAATTTTTCTGGCTCGTTAGAAAACGAGCCTAACGAGTTGAGTCCAAAACGATCCGAGGCAAATGAGTTGAGGCCAAAATGATCCGAACTGATTCGCTTGACACCCGTAATTTTTAGTAACCGACAGTGACCGGAGAGAGAGAGAGAGGTTAATTATTGGTTAGCCTTTGCTTTTTCGACCAAGTCAAGGGATTTGTCAAATTGGACAACTAAAGGATCGACTTGGTTCATGCATATCGATGATATTCATGAAAAATCAATTTTAAAATCGGACACATGTGGTGGAAACTTGTGGGTGAGCCGTCATCCAAACCGGAGTTAATGTACGAGTAGTGCTTGTTTTAGTGGACGAGTTTTCTTAAATGTGTGCAGAAAATAGTTGCATGTAAACTATGTGACATCATTCGCCTGCAATTTTGTTAAATGCGCATTAATTTTTTTTTATGTTCAACGCATCGAGTCAAGAAGGTCATTTATAATGGTCGAGCCCTCCAAGTAGGATGTTAAAGCCCACGAGCCGGCCCTAACCAAACCATTTATCACTGAGATGGGTCAACAGTTTTTTTTCAAATGTCAAGGTTAAGAGGCCCATGACGAGATACCTGCGATGTTATTTCAATATTACAAATTCATTTATTAAAAAAAGTTTTAGTTCAATGCCCTCTCCTCTTTCAATATTACAATGCTTCTGCACGCGAGGTACTTGGACTGCTCCTCTTTCACTCTGCCGTAAATGTAATCCATACGGGCTTTGATCGATCCAAAAGTTATTCGTTGTTTGACAATATTGAATTTGTTTTTTTTTGTGTGGTGGTAATATATCAATGACAACTTTATTAGTATACCATAAATGTAACTAAGTTTACATTGTTTAATTGTTGTGTTGAACCACTAAACCGTGGTCTGCATGCAGTACCAGAATCTAAGGAACCCGACAGGGTCAGCTACTGAGACAAACTGTGTCCTTATGCAAACTTGTATTGTTGAAAGGTGCACATAAAGAATCAAACAGAAAAAAAAAGATGGAATCTTTCCGGAAATTAAAAACGACGAGGTGGTCATGGGTTCGATTCCACTGGTGCAAATGGATATAATTTCTAGACTAAAATGATCCATATACAAAGGCTGGTCCTGGATCTAGGATGGATGTAGTCGGATCGAAGGGTCCGGAGAACCATCTTGGTTATAAAAAAAAAAGAAGCAAAAAGCAAAATCGGTGAGGTAAATTTATTCATTCAATATTATCTTGGAGTCATGAAAAGAAAACACACAAGAAAAAAAAGCTATAATTTATTAAAAAAGAAAGGTATCTCTCCTCATGTTTTTCCGCAGCATTTTTCTCTCCTCCAAACGCTAAAAACAGACAGACAGAAAGTAAACAAACAAAATAATCACGAATCTGCTCATTGTGACCAAAGGGAAAGAAGAAGAAGGAAACACAAGATGGAGACCTCTCCTCGTTGTTTGGTTTCTTTCCTTCAGATTCTCATCCTGTCTGGATTCGCCTTGTCTCTTCCCCTCTCCCGTAATTCCCTTTTTCTTTTTTCACCAGTAAGAAAAAAAAAGTGTTTTATTTTACGAATTGTTTTTAATGTACCTCTAATTCATTGAGAATCTCGCAGATGATGCATTGGAAACACACGCAGCCACGAGCCGAGCTCTTCTGCAGGCAAAGATGCGTAAGAACACGATTTCTTTCCCGAATCTAATGTCGATGGTTTGATACTGATAATCAAGAATATAGGATCATATATATTATCCTCTTTGAAACATGGATAAGATCATGGTTCGAAATCCCCCCGTGTCTATATAATTAGTGAAGCAAATGATGGTATTGTGCATTGGTGAAAAGCGTGCAAAGAAGATTTTGCGAACAAGAACTACACGGTGATAACGAGCAGATGCAAAGGGCCAAACTACCAGGCGGGGATGTGCTGCGAGGCGTTCAAGGAGTTCGCATGCCCATTGGCCGAAGCCATAAATGACGACAAGACGGATTGCGCCACCACCATGTTCAGTTACATCAACCTGTACGGACGTTACCCTCCGGGGATATTTGCCAACATGTGCAAAGAGGGCAAAGACGGTCTTGACTGCTCCAATGTCACCACCTCTTCCTCTTCTTCTTCCTCCATTCCCCTTTCCTCCTCCACTCTTCTCTCCCTCTCTTTTCTCCTCCTCTTCTTCTTCTTCTTCTGATGTCTTCATTTCATCTTGTTTGCTCGCCACTAGTAGGAACGTTTCTGCCGGTCTATTGTATGACATATCCAAGGGTGCAAAATGTACACGATTTCACCTGTTAAAACCGTTCTGAAAATTGCATTGTGGTGGCATGGCACATAGCTTCAACTATGCCTATGTCCATTGCTGCATCTGTCGCTATTCCTCACTGATGTGAGAACAGCCCCTCTGGTTTATCCATCGATCAATATTCCTATTTTGACAGAGTAGAATGCAGAATATTTCTGGACAAACATAGAGGTTTGAAGCCGCCATCAACGGTCGAAAAAAGGACAAGACATAACATATTCATGGGGAAAGCAGAGCCCAATTCTTACACGAAACCCATAATTGTTAAAGAGGGTAATTTTCATGCTTCTCAACGAAAAGGGACAATCAGAGTCAGATACAGAATCGGAAAAAGGATCGATCAATCGATGATCATCTATGAGCAGTGACGAGCGACTCGATGAACCTTAACCCATCAAACCTCGGAGCAAACTTCTCCTCCGACCCCATCTTCCTCTGATCTTGCTTCAAATCCTGCAAAATTCCACAACCATCCTCCGTTTAAAAAAAGGCCATGCCTTTGCTGCGACAGAAACGCAGGGATTCGATAAATTCAGCAAATTTACGAACTTTTGTTGCTCAGAGGCGTTTTCCCGGGAATTGAACTACATAAAGATGCCGAGAAAACAATTATAAAAAAAAACCCAGAAAGGGAATCAAGAATTGACCTCATGAGAAAGGTGGGATTTGGGCTCGTCGGCGAGTTCCGGCGAAGAAAAAGAGACGGAGACGGAGACGGAGGCGGAGGCGGAGGCGGAAGCTGCGAGGATCCCAGATTTCTTCATGGTTTATGATTGGTGTATAATTAATTTATTTGATGGCTCTGCTCATATATATATATATATATATATGTATGCAATGCAACGGGGAGGGGAGGGAATCATAATTAACCAAAGATTATTATACGTTTGACTATTTTATTTGCATTATTCCCATTTAGCCCTCCTCTCATCGACTTTATATTATCACGCCCCTACCATTTTTATATCATTAGAGTCCGTCGTGATTGGTCAAAATAAACACTTTTATATTAGTTGCTTTTTTTTTCACACCACGAGATGATTTTGAATGACATTCGGCTATGAAACAACATTTTGAAATCTTGCATATTTAGATTAATCCTCACTTATTTCTGGATCAACGCACTAAATAATAAAATATTAGGACTGAAAGATAATTCCATTCTTAAAGCAGGGTTCGAACCTGTGATCTTTAATTAAAAGATAAAGATGTTGAACCATCTAAGTTTTAGATTTTTATATTAGTTGCTTTGAAGTTCTAGAAAATACTTAGTTTATATTTGGGGTTGTATTGGGAAATGGCAAAGGTAAGGGTAATGTGGGAAAATGACCCAAAACAAAGATGTAAGGTAGAGGTGAGACGCACCCACTGACCCACCCCCGAAGCGGACTTTTGTACTTTGAAAAAGAAAAAAAAAACAGATATATTTGATCTCCCAAGTGGCCAATCGCAATCCATCATCTTTTGCCACGTGTTCGGCTTAGATGTATCCACTTTATCGGGACATGGTCCTCTGGGCTCTGACCCCTCCCTGTCCACTTGACGAGATGAAATAAAAATTAATATTATGGGTGCATTTATTATGAAGTTTACATGAAGCCATATGGACCCAAGACAACAAAAGCAGGTGTACTTTTTATCTTATGCAAAGATAATATGTTAAAGGTCTTGTTTGAAAGAGAGAGAACCATCCATCGCACTACGCCTTGACTCTCTCTTTTCTCCTTCCAGATTTAATATAATACGTGCCCGTTGTGGATCTCTGAAAAAGGCGTTGGCCCAACAAAAGAAAGAGGCCCAAAACCCCCAGATGAGGCCCAACGAAAGAGCCCATGAGCGCCTTGGAAGAGGAAGCATCGTCGTAAATGCTCAAACAACGAAACCCCACGGGCCACCGGAGCTACGTCGTTTCACTAGGGTTGTGAAATGCATCCTTCAAACAGTTGGGACAAAATTTTATGATTATCCAAATGGTTTTGGTGCGAATTGGAATAAACAAAGTTTACGAAAGTCGGTTTGGTTGTTTTGTTTGCTTCCGCCCTTCCACGCTCCATCCTTATCTGAACCAAACGCATATTTTATTTCCAAGGATTCTCGCGAAGAAGAAGCTTTGCTTCCCTTTCAAGTCTACAGGTCCGGATTTATTTTGCTGCTTTCGTTAAATCTCTTCTCCAATCGATTTAGTCATCAGATCAATGGCGTCTGGGTCGTCGGGTCGGGTCAACTCTGGATCTAAAGGGTTCGATTTTGGTTCCGATGATATCCTCTGCTCCTACGAAGACTACGGCAACCAGGACTCCTCTAACGGTCCTCACTCGGATCCTGCGATCGGGGCGACCAATCCCAATAAGGTAAGCAACCCGTCATCTTTCAATTGCACGATCGTTGATGTATGCCGATTTGGGGATCTAGGGTTCCGGCTGATTTTACAAACTTGCAGAATTTCTGATTTCATATTTCGGCTGGAGTTTTGGCGATTTAGGGTGTTCCGATTGTTTGGATGATCATCTGCTTGTTTGTTATGTCTCGGTGGCTGCAAAAGCAATCAGCCGGAGTGAACTTCGATTTTTTTTTACCTGAGCTGTTGAGCTTATTCAGCTAGAAATGTGTAATCATCCGGCCTGCTTCTGCTTCAATTAACAGTCATCAGACATTGCAGACCATAAATTGCATGTAGGCATGAAGAAATCACCAGTTTTCCGTTTTGTCTTTAGAAATAGGATCATATGTTTTTCAGCTCGTTAATAAATCTTGCTGCCGGCTGAACTTTGACTGACGATAGAATAGAGGTTGTTGCCCATTCTACGTTTTGTCCAAAAAAAATGTCGATGCCCTGTTGGGGGTGTATCAATCTTGTCTTAACCTAGCCTTTTGCATTTGGAGAATTACATCAATACTCATTGACTCTTTCGGTCAATCTGTCTCTTGCTTCCATTTGATTTGATTTGATTTTTTTTGAAAGTGTTGCATGCTTAATGTCTGCAGGAGTTTAACAAAACCCGAATGGCCAGATCTTCTGTGTTCCCTTCAAGCTCTTACAGTCCCCCAGAGGAATCTCTGAGTCAAGACATCACTGCCACTGTCGAAAGAACGATGAAGAAATATGCAGATAACATGATGCGTTTTCTTGAGGGAATCAGCTCTCGCTTGTCACAGCTGGAACTGTACTGCTACAATCTTGATAAGACCATTGGAGAAATGAGATCAGATTTGACCCGTGAAAACCAGGAGGCGGACGTTAAGCTTAGATCACTTGATAAACATCTTCAAGAGGTGAATTGTTCAATGTTTTAGCCCCACTGTTGTTTGTTTAGATTGAAAGAACCAGATGAACAATAACCGCTAAGAAGGTAAATTATCTGATGTAGGTGCATAGATCAGTCCAGATTCTAAGAGACAAACAAGAGCTAGCTGAGACTCAGAAAGAGCTAGCGAAGCTTCAACATGGACATAAAGAGTCGCCTTCATCATCTCACTCGCAATCTGGTGAGGAGAGGACGCAGGCTCCTGTGGCAGACTCTAAACCATGCGAGAGAAAATCAGATACTCATAACCAGCAGCTTGCACTTGCTTTGCCTCATCAAGTAGCCCCACAGCCACAGCCACAGCTGCAGCCACAGCCGCAGGCACAGATGCAACCACAGCAGCAGTATTACACGCCTCCTGCCACACACCTGTCGAACCTGCCCGCACCAGCTCCAGCTCCATCTCCAGCTCCAGCTCCAGCTCCAGCTCTGGCTCCGGCTCCAGTTCCGGTTCCGGCTCCCCAGCCACAACCACTGGCGGCACAGGGTCAGTTTGTGTCTCCACAGCCTGCACCATCTCAATCCAGCTCGGCTCAGCCATTCTCTCAGTACCAGCAAATCTGGCAGCCTCCACAGCAGCAGGTGAGGCCACAGTCCAGTGGACCCTACCCGACATATTCACCCGCACCAGCAAGCAACCGACCACCCATAGAAATACAGCCTAGCAGCATGCCGATGCAACCATCATACTCAGGACCTCCCCCGCAGACAATGCAGGCTTACGGGTACAACCCACCCGCGGCTAGAACAGCAGTGCCACCTCAGCAGATGAAGACGTCCTACAGTCCCCAGTCGGGTGAAGGGTATGTACCATCGGGGTATGCCATGTATGAAGGTGGTGAAGCGGGAAGGATGCAATACCCACCACCGCAGCAGACCCACTTCCCTCCAGGTGGGTACGCTCCTCAGCAAGGGGGTCGACAATTCTTGAGAGCAAGCTCAGCGTATGGAGAGTTGATAGAGAAGCTGGTGAGCATGGGTTTCAGAGGAGACCACGTGATGGCTGTGATTCAGAGGATGGAGGAGAGCGGGCAGCCCATCGATTTCAATGCAGTGCTCGACAGATTGAGTGTGCAGTCACCTCAGAGAGGATGGTGATGCAACCGTATGCTTGATATGTTTATGATGCCTTTACAGATTAATGCAGTTGTGGGACCGAACCGATTGAATAAGAGCCCTGGTTTGGGTGTGTGTAGTAGAAGGCCCTTGTTTTATTGGGTCTTTTAAAGCCCAATGGCTCTCTTGTGCTTTGGGCCTTTAGTGCGGATCCAATCCCCTTTGTTTTCATACTCTTCCGTTTCATTTTAATCTCGTATAAATAATCAACAAGAGTCTAAATTATACTTGCTTACGGACATGGAGGCGACTGAGTGCCCGTTCCACCAAACGTAAAACGCACAATGGAGAAACTTAATTTGTTCGTGTACGCGCCAAAAGCATAAAGCCGGTAGAGTTCTTCGACAACCCGTAGTTTAACTCGGAGCGGATCGACCCCCTTCTCTCATCACTTGAACTGAACAGGTAAAAACATCACACTTTCTACATGGAATATAATATAGGTTTCAACATCGAGATCTCGCAGCCAAACAAATAACTCACATCATCTCATTGTCTATGAGAACACAATTCTTTCAAGCTCTTATCCTGCCGATCACGACCCAACCGGCATGACTGTTGGATCATCAGCTTGTAAAGGGATTCTCGTTCCCAAGGCACAATCCCAAAGTCATCATTGAAACCCTCCATGCCTTCTACCAACAACTGCCAGACCAAAGTGCCAGCACCTGACCGCTTTCGCTTTGCTGACTTGTAGATCACATCAAAGATGGTCTTGTAAAACCGGTCCCTTTGTGACGGCTCATAGTCCTTGTTTAGGTTTGACAGACCAAACTCCGTGAACAAGACGGGCTTCTTCAGTTCCTTGTCCCCGTCTTCAATGTGAGACAGCATCCACTTCATTACGAATTTGAGCTTGTCTTCGAAACCCTGATCGTGAAACCTGCTCACATTTTTCAGAGACAGGATTGCTTTAAGAGGGTATCTACATTTGCATCTATTTGACTCCACGATTGGGACAGAGTCAATTCTTTTGCTTTTTGAACCTTAGTTCAACCCAAGAGAGATCAAGTAAAAGCTGTAGAAGCTAAACAACTCGGAATAAAGAAAGTTACTCAAAATTTGAAATTAGTTCCACATTGATTTGATGCTCAATATTGACTACAAGACCGATTAACACTATTAGCCAGCAAGTTTTGGATTGAATAGAGTTTCACAAAGAGAGTTTTCCCAGCTAATAATCTCTCTAAAAAAACATATGCCATTAAACCTTCCATTGCTAACAGTTCAGTTCCGGTGACCCGAGTATCTATATAGCCAGAATGCAACTGCTAAATTCAGGTTGGATAACATACAGTGAATCATTGAGAAATCAAAACTCTGGTATACTCAATATGGCTGGCTGAGAGGTAAAGTTCCAATCTTTGACGAAAGACATCCTTCACACCTAAAGATACAGCAACCAATTTTTAATTCTTTTTCCAATTGGTGGGGTGGATACTTACCAGTGATCAGGGTAGATGTGAACCGATGCAAAATCGATATTTCTGGAAGCAGAGTTGCGAATGAAATCTGAACCAAGCTCAGAGGCCCAGCGTTCCGGGTTCACAGTCAGCCGTTTTGGATTATTAGAACCGTAGAAACCTTCCAGGCCTACAGTCAGAAGATGTTTGTTGTCAATCGATTTTATGAATGCTGACATTTCGTCTATCCAGTCCTGTGATTCCACAAAACACAACCCGAAAACAAAAAAAAAAAAGGTTGATATTAGCTCAAGAAACCTGTCGACTGAGGAGTTACTGGACAAGAAAAAGTTAACCAAATGAATTGTTCAAGAAAACAAAGAAACTGATCAAAGGATTAGTTAGTGGAGAGAACTGACTTGGAGGGTGTTTCCAGATGCATCAGACATGCATCGAGGTTCATTTATCAGCTCCCAAGCAAATACGGTGGGGTCATCTCTATACTCAATTCCAGTAACAGAGTTTTTACGTGTGAGCAGAGTCTGGAACCGGAAATAAAGTGAAATCAAACATTGATATAACCAAAGAAATACGCAAATTTATGGGCTAAACAAGGAACTCTATGTATTATCATTGCATTGACAAATTGCATCTCGTCGGAAACCAAATCATTTTTACACCTACAACTGTTACTTGTAAACATGGAAGACCACCTCAAAAGAAAACATTTTTTTGGCTATCTTCGGTGCTGGAAGTCAGCAAACTAACATTGAAAAATGTTTCGGCTCTTTCGAAGCAGACAGTTCATATATTGTCCCCTCTCAATTCTGAAGCAATAAACTTACGATTAAAAAATGTTTATCTGCATTTTACATAGTCGCTTCTCAACCGAAGAAACTGTTAAAGATTGTGATGTCATGGCATCTCTTTCACTTCTAATACTGATACTTTTCAGATATGTATCCACTGCGCTAAATTCATATGCAAAACAAGAACAGACCAGGATAGAAGTTAATGAAACCAGGTAAAAACTGTACCGTCAGATAATTCTTGAAGTATCTACGGATAGTCGGGTCGAAGAAGAAAGAATCGTTAGATGAGCTCAGGCCAAGACCTTCTTGCCATGCCCAGTTGACATATTGAGTCTTGCCTCCATATGCTTGCAAGTTATTGACCAAGCTAAGAAGCAACCTAACACCGTGCTTTCTCGCTTCGGCAATTACATGATCTAATGCCTGCCCACATTTCATAGATTGTGTTACAATAACAGGACAATAAATCAATTTAGAGATCAGTTTAAACTTTGTCACAGAGATTGAGGCTAAATGTTTTCTGCACTGAAAAAAAATTCAGACAGCAGCCCAAACAAGTAACACTAGTTTTGGAAAGGACTAAAATGATAAGTGGGTTTTTTTTTTTTTGTCTTTATCTAGAATCACATAGACCACAGAGAGCAAAACAGATGCAAAGTCCTCCAAATCCAGCAAACTTAAATAAGGAATTAATCACAAGCAGAAACAACAGATCCAAAACTAGTGAAGAAGAAAATGACAAACAAATGCAGAGAGAGATGTACCTTGAAGACGCGCTCGTCGAATCGGCCGGGTGACATTTGCAGAGCATTGTAGCCTCCATCGTTGAAGGCCCATGTTCTACACACTGTAAGACCCATCTTGGCGCCGGCTTCGAGCATGTCACCCACACGGTATCTGCTGTGGTCATTCACAGCATGGTCCATGAACCAATACGAATTCCATCCATTCACATATAAAACCTTATCATCCACCACGAACTGAGTCCCGTTCCGCTTAACGAAACCTAACTCCGGTTCCACCTTGTAATCCAACCATAAATCCCCAAAAGACATGTAGATGAAAATGGCGCACACCAGAAAACCTAGAATCGGGTATACGGGCCCATTTCCCGCGGGCGCCATGCTTGTTCTACCTGAGAATAGCTTCGGGGACTTCAGAATCGTCCGAATCTCTGAAGTTCCTCTGGATTTCCTCTGTAATTTCTCGGCTCTGTTCAGCGAGTCTCGCCCGGATGGAAAAATTTTCACCTCCAGCGGAATACGCTTTTATGGACGCCCGGATGGAAATTTACGCGCCTTCCACCAAATGCAGCAGGAAACTCTGGATGTGAATCGACGAGACCAAGCTGAAAATTTTCCCACTTCCAAAGAATGTGAGCAGAAACTCCGGGAAAATTGGAACCCTTTTATGGAAGCAATGTGGAAAATAACCTCCAAGCCAAATCCCAACAAAGGGGGAAAAACACTCGGATCCCTCTCAGCGGACGAACACTCCCAACTCCGTTCAAGAAGAAGAAGGAATGGAACGCCAAAACAAGAATCGAAGCTCTGTCATCCACGAATCGATCTATGGAAATGGCGAAGGAAATACAGCTTTATGCGGAAAACAAAGACAAGGTCGGAGTAACCTAACAGTTACTCTTCTCGCCCTTTCTGACAGTGGCGACAAATTTGGGAGCTTTGTGGTGAAATGTTGGTATCAATCATAAAGCATAAAACCTCTTTACTTGAACACCAGATCTGTCTCTGATATACTTCTAAAAAAGTAATATAATTTCATAGAAATACGCGTATTTTTTTCTGCACACGTATTGTTTTGCCGTTTTTATTTTCTTTCTGTTCTTGTTGATGGAATCTAAGGCTGGTCAGATATTTCGAGATCTTGTTTCAAATCTAACATTAAAGTGAGATGATTTACATCATAAAACTACGTTTTGTCTGTCAAAGCTGTAGATAGCGGATGGATCTAGAATGTGACAAGTGGGGCAAGTCGTTCCGTGTTGTTTTATTACGCACCGAAATCTTTGTCCGGAAGAGATAACAAGTGCCGCGGATTCAAACGGCGACGGATCACACGGCATGGAGCTTCTTGGGTTTCTTGAAAGTTTTCTTCCTCTTCTGTTACTTCCGCTCTGGGAAATATCATTCCTTTTCAGCAGATCTGTTATCAAAAAATGTGATCGGTGTGTAGATCTCCCGTAGATCTTCTTGCCCCTTTCAGTTGTTAAGAAAGTCATTTAATATCAAGTGGGGCCTATTCTATTCTTGGAAACTCCGCATGTGGATTACCTTCGTTATATGACATCTTCACTGCTAAAAACTAGGGGTGGGCGGGAAACGGTTCGGGTTCGGAACGGGAATAGATCGGTTCGGTTTTTTCGATTTTACAAAAATAGGTATCAATCGGTTCTTATATTATATTCGGTATCGGTTCGGTTCGGTTCCGTTCCGGATTTTATTAAAAAAATGATATATTTCCTTTAAAAATATTCGGTTTTTCGGGATTTTTAAAGTTCGGTTCGGTTCAGTTCCGGAAAAATTCGGTTATCTAAAAATGGTACCGTTCGGGAATCAAGAACGGTTTCGAGTCGAAAAAAATACCATTTTTCCGAAGAACCGAACCGAAACGTCCAGCCCTATTAAAAACGAATAAACAAACTGTTGATTACTATTGCAGCAGCAGATGTCGTGGGGGCAGGCGAACCATGAATACGTAACACTGACATAAATATTGTCGGCGTTATTTCAAGAATCATTAGCTGCATTATTCCGGCCAATTAAAAAAATAGAAAAAAAAAAGCTGGATTGCACTGCTGATTGCAGCAATAATTGACATTCATAATACATAAAAAAAAAGGGGGGGCTTTTCTTATAATAACTAGTTAAAAGGGTGCAAACAGATCACACGTGAAAAAGCATAATGATTTCTTGAAGATGTAGAAATAGATGTTAGATGCGACTTTGCAACTCATTCTTTGAATTGAATCATTTATGACGAGATTCTGTCGATCATGTCATTCCCATCGATTTCATCGTGGACGGAATAACAGGCCTGATGGGCCTTAGAGCCCATTTACATGTTTACCCACTGGAGAGAAGAGGCCCTTTTCTAGGAGCCGACCTAGCGCTACAATTCAATTCCGCATTATCCTACGGCTCATATCATCCATACATGAAAATGATTCATTCGCCAAAAGAGAATGCATTAACTTTAAGCTACATTATGATAATCGATGACAAATATCAATTCCAACATAGAATGCTAATTTATAATTAATAACCGATAAAACGAGAGCATAAAACATACGTTATAGTTGTAGGTTTAGCAAAGGGAATAAAAAAGTTGCAGATGCAGATACGATAAATTAAGAATCCCTAAACCATTGAACTTATGATTAACACAAACAACCCAAAACAACTATTAACCAGAGAACGAACCGAACCCGAATTGCGAGCAGAGATAGGCGCCGGCGCCGGCGCCGGGGCTGCAACTTCCGAACCCGAAGGGGAAATCGCCGGCACAAGTACCACCGCAGACGGTGACGGAGAGGGCGAGGGAGAGGGAGAGGGAGAGTGCCGGCGATGGTGGTGGGCCGACATGACCACAAGGGCGAGTTTTTGGCCACGGAAGCAGTTGCCGGAGTTGCCGCTGACGAAGAAGAAAGGCCCTGACCTTCCAAGCACGACCACCGAGTCGCCGTCGTTCAGGGAGCTTATAGGGTTTTTTGTGTTGCATGTGTTGTAATCTTCTTCCTTCACCATCATCACTGAGTCGCTTCCCTTCTTGTACCTAAAATCTGCAAGTTCGTGTGTCTATATTCTTAGATTCGATGCATGCATGTGTACGGTAAATGCATTAGAAGAAAAGTGACTACGATGAACTATATATAAAAACGATTTAAAAATGGTATAAGGACTCACAGAGGGTGTCATTGACTTGGAACCTATTTCTGTGAGACCAGTGCGTATAATCCTCGGAAGGGCTAATGACCCACCCATCTCCGCCTCCAACGTAGAACTTATACCCACTTGATACCCCCACCAACCCAACCCATATTATTCCAAAGCTCACCCAAAGCCCCACCAAACCCATCTCCAATTACCCTAACTTCTGTGTGTGTATGGTGAGTGCAATTGTGTGTGTGCCTGTGTATATATACAGTGAAAAATAACATAGCCGTTGGGAGAACTTGGCTGCATGTTGAGCAACACAGAGCCGTTTCGATTTGGTTGTTGCTTTTGCTCGTTCGTCGCTCTCGTGCTTTCCTTTACACGTTGCAACATGCAATCGATTTAACGGTCGGGTGTTTTTGGAGTCTTTGGATCCTCTTTTACTCAAACATATGAGTTCATTTATTTATGGTCATTGAATCGATGCTGCTTTAGTTAGCAAGTATATATGGTTAGAATATATATGTAGTTAAATGTTAATTTGGTTTAATTTGTTTTGGTTTAGTTTGGTTAGGGTTTCTCTCTATTCTACTATTTGTATTTAAGGAACCTATGATGAATGAACAATACAAGAAAACATTTTCCCAAAATCTCTCTCAAACTCTGAAATATCAAAATGGTATCAGGCCTTTGAGATTCTCTTTTTTTTCCGCTAATTTCTTCTTCTTTGTTCTTGTTTGTTTTCTGATTTGAATTCATTTTTCTCTTGATTTTGAAATTTCAAAATGGAACAAGATAGAGAAGAGGATGACGACGATGATGGTGATATTGCTCACCAACTGTTTGATAAAATTCCTCATCTTTCATCTTCTCTTTGTTCCTCCATTTTTTTTTTCCAGATTCGAGTTTCTTTCCATATTCTTCAGTTTTTAGTCTTCATTTTCTTGTCTATACTCTTTCTCCCTCTTTCATTTTTATTTCTAAGATCTGTAGGGTGGTTCTTTGAAACTTTGAAACCCTAAAAACGATCATTTATCTTAAAATAGAGGAAGAGTTTAATCTCTCTATTTGTTTCCTCTTCAATCTGCCTTCTATTCTCTAGAAATCTGATTTTTTTTTAACTACATATATATTCTAATAGAATATTTCTCCCAATGAATCGCGTAAATCTCATTTGCTTCACGGCTCATCTCAGTTGTATCCTGTTTTTGTCTTCTTCTTCTTTTGTTGTAAATGGTACAGCTTAATTTGACACATTAATTTTTTCACATCTTACCAAAAAAAAAAAACACAATGGTTATTTAACGGAAAAAAAAAACATATGTTGGGCCATTCATACTCCATAACACATATAATGTCTTCTTACATCATAATGTGCAAACTTTACTCATGGGCAATCCACAAAGTTCAAAAGGCAACCTTGAATCATTTACATCAAAAGACATCTGATAAAGAAATAAAGAACCAACCAGTGGGATTATCCGAACCCGTAAAGTTTGTAATTTGCTCGAGGTCTAGGGGTACCTACCAACCCATATAGTCTCTTCAGCATAATTTGTCATGAAAACTTGGATAAGCAACAACCACATACAAGACGAGACTAACAACAAAACTCCAGTGTTATTACAGCAAGGGGAAGCTTATGTTTTGCCAGTCCTCCGACCCACACGAGCAACAAAACCAGCTTTGATCGGCGCCACCGATCGTCCTGATCCACACTGCAATATCACACAACCCCTTTGTTTTGATATTCGCTTACAACCAAAAGACATTAGGAAATGGGTGTTCTTTCATGAGGAGAGGATGCAAAATGGTATCCACCCTTCCCCAAATGCAACAAAGCACAAAAAAAAAATCAGATATAACCACCAGCTTCTTTTGTACAAAAAAAATCAAATGTCTTGCCACACCAGTAGAAAAATGGATTACCAAGGAAAGAAGATTGTGGGCCTCGGAATAAGCTTTTGCATCACTATCACTAGTTTATCACACAGCGTAAGCAATCTCTTAATCGTCCTTGGCCCTGCCTATGGTACAATGAACCATAGGCAGAATTATTTAAGATATTTATTTCACTGCTAAATATCAAACAATGTAGGCAACTAACTTTTCAATCATCACCACCCATCTAACGAAACAAAATTGATGAACAAAACGCAAGGTTCTCTTTTTCATGCATACAGAAAACACAATGACCAAACATACACATGTAGGCCTCAGTTAAAATATTTTGTATCATCATTAATCAATCAGACAATGTAGGCAAATTTGCAACCATCATAGGCCTCCTGAGATTTCTCCGTAGAAAGGTAAACAAACATGAAAAAGGTGGAAGACGCATGGAGTTTTACCTTCTCACATCTGAGAAAGAAAAGTCGATTCTCCTTAGAAAGAAGTGTGTCCGGACTCTTGCAACCAAGGCAAATGACGTACTCATCTGAAAGCATCAGAAAAAAGAACCAAGTACGTGATAAGAAATCCTTCTCGTCAAAAGAGAACACATAATTTGAGACTAATCTAAGAGAGAAGATACTTACTGACATATCGTCGCAAAATCCCTTCAAAGTTCTTGGGGGCAAACCTTCCCTTGACGACCAACCTTTGCTGTCCATCGAGTGAACCACTAGTACCCAGTTCAGCAAGCAAGAAAGCCATGACATGATCCGGTTGGCGATGCATCCTATTAGTGTTTTGGAGGTCAATAGAGCATGTCACACATTCATTAGAATTCGTCATACAACTTACGTGCCAATAACAAGTAGTCGCAATTGTTTAAGGAAAAAACAAAGTTTACAGAGGAACATAGGCCGGTCTTACGTCTTGCAAAGGTCCATGAAATTTACAAATACGGTTTTCTTTGTACCCTCCCGAAGAACTTGAGGAGGCCTCATAACAGTACGACGCCTATCTCCTGCAAGCTCAGGGTTATTCTCACGAAGAATGTTAAAAACCCTGCCAAGCAGCTGCATGAATAGTACAAATAAGAAAAATCAAGAATAGGGAACAATAGAAGGGCGACAATAAAACAAGATGTTGCCACTCCGAGAAAAGGAAGATATTGATCAACAGTGCTGAATATGATTTCTACATATTCACCTCCTCATACTCGTAATCACGATCACTTCCTTCCCAGGGGTAACGCTGCTGCTGGAGGACTATTCCATCGCCCTCTTCCTCATCGTTACCAAGGTCTGCAAGACATTGTCAATAAGATCCATTAAACGCACATGGCATAAAAAATATACGGAATTCAGCACAGAGAGTGTTTGGTTGCACCATCTATATCTTCTCCGGCCTCTCCACATTCCTCATTCAAAGAGCTTGGTTCAACCTGAGCACCAAAGCAGACATTTGTAAGGCATCATTCCAGGAATCATAACCATTCAAGTACGGATATTTGATAATCTAGTGCGCATTAAAAGTGAAACAAAACTCACAGGCTTCTTTTTCTTCTTCTTCATACCAGTAAATGTGCTTTCAAGACCATCACTGGCTGCAGCCAAAGTTAGAGAGATTAAACCCAATACAGCCACAGAGCATTCTTCAACAAATTGCATAACCGATACATAAAGGCATATGGACCTGGCAATGAATCAGCTTTCTCTGCTGGCAACTCTGTCGAGTCGTCAAGAGTGTCCTGAATCACCACTTTCTTCTTCTTCTTCTTCTTTGTTGGGTCAAAGGCCGTAATCTAGACGTAAAACAAAATTCATCAATAAACCAAGTGAACCATAGTACGATTGATCACCACATACCCACTACTGGTCTATCAAGTTGAAACAAAACTTGAACAAGTAGATGAGAAAGTGCCTGGCGAGTTATCTATTTATATAAACTACCACAGAAACGTACCCATATGGACTATAAAACTGAAAAACCAAACTTACTTCAGGCTCTTCCCTCACTTCGTCCTTCATGTCATTAGGTTCTTCGGCCATGATAACTGCAAGGAACAGAAGCTAAGCTATAAGTACCTGATAACGGATACAAAAATGTAGTGGAACAGTATATCATCACATAAACAAATCACCATCAAGAATCAGCCAAACAAATCCCCAGAACCCAAACGTAATTCTATATCGCTAAAAAAAAACCCAAATAAAGAGCAGCGGAAAAGATCGCAGAGATTTGGAAGAAATAGTTTACATGAATAAACAAAGCTACTTGTCGTCTTCTTCTTGGTAATGATGATAGCGCGAGATATCAAGATGTCCTCCGACACATATCAACTAAAACAAACAATCAAACTAAGTTTCAACAGAAGAGCACAGCACCTCATAAATCTAATATGATCTTTTGTCAATAACCACCTCCTAAATCTCAAAGAGGATCTCAAAAAATCAAAACAGAATCTGCGATTTCATATGATTAGGATGGTCTATAATGGTTGAAATGATTTTCCGCCGCTGCGAAAAAAAAAGACAAAGAAAACACAATAGAAGAAGGATGAGAGGAGGAGGTTTAGGTCGCTGCAGAGGGAGACGAGAGGCGATACCTGATGGCAGGGAGAGACGATCGAGAGAGAACGGGAAACCCTCCCTAAGTCGATTGATTGAACACACACGACAGGACTCGAACTGAGGCGCACACAACACGGGTGGAGAGGCTCAAGGGCCCATAAATTCATAATGTGGGCTGTGCTGTTGGGCCTATTTTGTAAGTGTAATACCAATAAAATTGGCCCAATAAGGACGTACTCGTATGAAAGTTGTTGTATGCTTTTTGGCTAAAGATAAGATATCATTCTTCGCCTGGTTGGTTTTATTATTTTAACCTTAATATTCCCCCTCCGTGTGTTATTTTCTGCTATCACATTGGCTCCCGTGGTCAAATGAACTTTTAAAAAAAAAAAGAGAACCGATATAGTTTAGAGCGTTTTAGTTATTTGGGTTTATCGAATTTGGAAAATTAAAATTCATAGAATTAAAAAAAATATTTGATTTAAATATTAGGATAGATGAGAGAAGAGAAAAACATTAGAAAGCAGTCATGGAAAGAAGGAATTGGATTATGGTAGAAACAGAAAAGAGTATGAAAAGAAGAACAACATGTATATCTCAAAAAAGAAAAGACAGAAATCAGCGACGGAGGTTCTTGACTTTTTTCCAACCCTTCTTGCAGGAATCTCCGACGATTTTGAAGCCTTTCTTCCACAGAACCTTGAGCTCCTTCGCTCTCTCCTTCACCTGCTTCTCCAACCCCGCCATCTTTTTCCTCTTCTTCCCTCTCCCTCAAATTCTAGACGCTTCTTCCTTCTTCTCGTCTTATTTAATGTCTCGGCCGGGAATATATATATATAACTCGTCTTAGAGTGGCCAGAGGGGATCCAATGGCTGCGGGTGTCGACGTGGCGAGGTTAGGACCGTCGATGAGCCTCGTGATTGGTTAAGGAACGTTGATTGCGGGAAAGTGCCAGCTGGAATTCACTGGAGGATGGCGAATTTATTTATTACCCCGCCCCACTAACAGCGAAGACAGCCTTACCATATAAATTAGTGATGCAAAACCACTTTTTTGTTTTATTGCAAGGCCAACAAGGTGAAGGCATTGTACAGGGAATGGAGGAGGAGTGAGGAGGCCAAGTTTCCGGTCCAGCTGTAGCAACACCCCAGCACGCATCCCACCGCGAACAGCTGCACGAAATTCTCCCCTGAAAAGTGAGCTCCGGCGAATATTAGGGAGCTCGTGAGAAGACCCTTCTCCCAACTCATAGCCGACGACAATGACGTCAGCAGAAACCTTCTGTATACGATTTCTTCAAGCGCTGGCGCCACTACGCAGTAGAGAGCAAAACATGCGCTTCTTGATACCACCTCCCCTTCTTCAACTATCTTCTTCACCTCCATGTTGTTTGCAGCCTGAATTTGTTTTATATATATCTGAGTTATTCAAAGATTATAACTTGAATCGACAAATTTGAGGATTCCCGTGAGGCTTAACCTTAAAGTGTCATTGCTCACCTCAGAGCCGAGCAATTTGTCTACTACAATCGATGTGATGAAGACAAGACTGAGGAGAAAGCCGAAACCCAGTGCAGAGCCAAGAAACCAGTTTCTTTCTTTCCCTGAATCGCAACCCTTGAGAAAGTCGATATGTGACTTTGCAGTATTCCTCAGCAGAAACACAGTCACTGCAAGTTCCACCATTTGCAGAAGAAGAAGAGACAACACCTAGAGTTCATGTGACAAAAAGGGACAAGGACAGAACATTGAGTAAAAATAACAACTGGATTCCACAGACTATTTGCAAAGCCAAGTGTATCTCAGAAATAAGTGCCTGCAGAGGATACTATTTAATCAACCGAATAGCACTGTCCAGAAGAAATGGTCAACAGGATCATCCATATTCCATTTTTGAATGGACCCATACGTTTATCTCATCTATAATGAACTCAGACGAAGATAACAAAAGAGGGCAAACTGACTTGGGTCTGAGGATCAAGAACCGGCTGGTGAAGGAAGTAGGCGACGATGGATAAACCTCCAAAACTCAGAGGAATATGCAGACAGAACATGTAAACACCAAATGTGCTCCATATGTTCCTCTCTTCCCATGGAATTCCCGATGCCAACACCGAGAACCTTTCTTTGCTCTCCAGCTGTTTAATGTATTTTTTTTTAAAAGAAGCAAACTTTGATTGTTACAGTGAATACATTTGGGAAATTTTTCTAAGACGTTAAAAACTTAAGCTTGGGAGTAGAATGGAAACCTAAACCACTTTGAGACCCATGAGAGCTAAACTACTTGGTAGGAACGTTTAAGGGTTTCAGAACAACCTGGTTCTGGTGACAATCACTAGATTACATAAGCATCAATGGCTCAGGCAAACGAAGGAAACCCACCTCCGTGGTTTCGTGTGAGCTTCGGCTTTTGAGACATGGGCATTTGACAGAAGAGATAAGGCTGTAAGGACGAGTGATGGAGGAGAGACCACGAAGCTCTGAAAATCGCGGGGAAAGCTCGCCAGCAGCCTTAACCGGCGGCGTGAAGGAAGCCAACGTTGCTACAATCATCGCCGTAGAAATCTCCCCTTCATTGTTTTGATTGATTCTGACCTAATTAGACCAGTTCTGAGAGGCCTTCGAGGTTGTCCGATGGATAAGGTAATCGATCACTTGCAATTTTTTCAAAGGCTTTTTAGCATTTTCGATTTACTTCGTTCGTTATTAGTTAATCACGACTAATAGAAAAAATCCCTTATAAAATAATGAAGTCGGTTTTTGACATTGAGTTCTGGATCGGTATAATTTCGGTTTAATTTTTTTAAATCAGGCTACCGAGAATCGAACCCGGTTAGCTCTTCTTCTGTTTTTATGAAGGAACGGAAAAAGATCTGAAGCAATCTGAATCACAGGTTTTGTTTTGTTTGGGGCATTAAACTCTCTTTCATCTCCCTCTGCCTCAATCAAACCCTGCAAGGAGGATTTGTTTTGTCTTCTCCTTTGCGAGAGGGTTCTCTGGTTCGTCCTGGTTTTGGGTGTAACAGATGGCGAGAATTGTGAGGAGTTGTTTACAGTCCATATTGAAGATGGTGAATTCGTTGCTGGGTATGGTTGGGATCGCCATCATCCTCTATGCCGTTTGGCTGATCAGAAAATGGGAAGAAGAAATGGGTAATCTTCCCTTCGATGATGCTGACCACCCAGTTCCTTGGTATCTTCACTTTCCCCCTTTTCGTCCACAAAGTTCGTTCCTTTTTCTGGTTTAGGTTATAAAATCTCTCAGCTTCATGCTTCGATTCGTCCTAGTTACGCTCTATGTCTTGGATTTGCTTCAGTTTTTCATGCAAGATGAGGATCGGAATTCCGCGTTGTTTACACGTAGAGGGGATTATATGTCTTATTATAAGTTTGAAGTTTGAGCTTTATGGGAGAGGTATTGTTAGAACCTTTGTGCGAGTGTCTTCAAAATCCATGGCAATTCAATGACACGTTTGTAGAGAGGGACGATCTCTTCTGCTTGATATATGGGTGAGGGAAAGTGTGATGGTTCGAGAGTGGAGGGGAGAGCGATTCTCATTGTTGAAAACCTTTGCAACAGAGTCGACGAATCCCTCTATGAAGATCTTTATTCGTATCATCGTCTCGCTGCTGTTGAAAATGCTAAACGCATCTATACTTACCAACTGCAGGTTCATTTATGTTTTTCTTGGTCTCGGGGCTTCTCTCTGCGTTATCACTTGTGCAGGCCACATAGCTGCTGAAACCGTGAATGGATGTTGCCTTTACTTGGTATGCTTCGTTTTGTACACTGTGGTTTTACAAAATGACTCTAGCAACTGAATAAATTATTGATGAGCTCCCTTGACGTTGTTTTACTCTATTGGGTTCAGTATATGGGATTCATCTTCTTGCTTCTGATGCTCGAAGGTGGAGTGGTCGCCGATATCTTTCTAAACCGTGAATGGAAGGAGGTATATTGCTAGCATTAATCCTTTGATGAATCTTGGAAGCTTATCAGAATATGCAATACTAATGTCGAGGAAGCTGATCTCATTCTCATCCAAAATTTATCCAGGACTTCCCGGAGGATCCTAGCGGTGCTTTCCACCAGTTGACAGAGTTCATAGAGTCGAATTTTGAGATCTGCAAATGGATAGGTCTATCTGTTGTCTGTGTCCAGGTATCTCATCCTTGTTCCCTGTTTTCTCTCGGTAGTATACCCAGACAATGCAGGCCTCCTATATTAGAGTATTACGGGATTTGGTTTTGGGTGTTGTTGTCAGGGTCTAACAGTTTTGCTGGCGATGTTGCTCAAAGCTCTTGGGCCGCATCAGCGATATGAAAGCGACGATGAATATGATGGTAGCAGCGTTGCGCTCCTCCAGGATGGTCGTCACCCGCCGCCGTACGTAGTCGGGGAACCAGTTTACGGGGCTAAAGCTGGAGCCTGGACCATAAGGATAAATGACCATTAGGTACACATAAAAGCTGCCTGATTCCTTTTACTTGAGTTGAAAAAAATGGGTATTAGTATAACCCACGTGTCCCTTTTTTTTTTGTAGATGATTATCTTATAGGGAACGTGAAAAAGGGCATATGCTTGGTTGGTGTGGACTGTTAAGATTCTCGATCGTGATCTTTGTGATATGGTAGAAATATTTGATAATTGATATTAGCCACGTCTTTATATATTTATTTGATTTCGGTTCGCCGACACCACCATACGTGTATAATCATACTTTGTAGAATTGAAACGTAATTGACGCTACAAATATCAACTTTGAGAATGCGACATCGTTTGAAAATTCATCTAATCCAAACAAGGATCGTGCATAGTCATGTGCTGTGTGACGTTGAATATGCCAAAATCATGGATCCACTTTTATTTTTTTTAATACAAAAATATACGACCCCATACGAATAGACTGATTTTGGTTGATTTCCATCTGAGGGGTGGGTTTCCGTTATCAGATACGAAGCTCCGTGACCGTTATGATTTATGCCATGTGCGCCATATATTCCACTTTTTGGTGTAATCATTATTTTATATCTTCATTTACAAATTACGAGACTGTATCATGTATTATTTCATGATAATAATCGTACCGATATTACATATTATTACTAGAGAAAAAACAAACGATAATTAATATTTTAACAAAAAACTATAATTAATATTTTTTTTGTTGGGAAGTGAGGTATTTTTGTCAACAATATTATTCAACAGATTCTTTTCCACCTTCCGCAAGGATCTGCCGCAGAGCTCAACGGTCGAATAGCACAATTACGGGAACACCCCTACGATCGTGCGAAATCGACGGCTTAACTGTCGGTGGGACCTACGAGAAATGGCACTCTCCGCAAATAAAATGAGAACTGAGGGGTAAAACCGGGAACACAAGTCTCTCCTTCTATAAAACAAGACTGACAAAGCAGACACTCTCTCACTGTCGGCAGTCGAAGAAGCCCACTTCTCCCTCTGCTTCCTATTACTGGGTTTCTGCGGGAAGCGACAAGCGGCTGAAAATGCAGCTCCGTCCGGTCATCCTGGCTACATTGTGGGTGCTACTTGGCTGCCCGTCCACATCGGCGCTGGCTAAGAGCCACGTGACGGACTCCCATTGGTTGCCAGCCACCGCGACCTGGTACGGCAGCCCCGACGGCGACGGCAGCGACGGTAACACACCAACTCCGAATTTTCATTTTTCAGTAAAAATCTGTGAGAATGACTGGGAAATATTCGGATGTGGAGCAGGAGGGGCGTGTGGGTACGGGTCGCTGGTGGACGTGAAGCCATTCAGGGCGAGAGTAGGAGCGGTGAGTCCGGTGCTCTTCAAAGCCGGCGAAGGATGCGGTGCCTGCTACAAGGTCCGTTGCCTCGACAAGTCCATCTGCTCGAGAAGAGCCGCCACTGTCATTGTCACCGACGAGCGGCCACACCCACTTCGACCTCAGCGGTGCCGCCTTCGGCCGCCTCGCCATCTCCGGCGAGGCCGGTCCCCTCCGCAACCGCGGCGAGATCCCTGTCGTCTACCGCCGGTACACCCTTCCTCTTTTCGTCTTTATATTAATATTTACATCAGTCAGGTTCCCTATATATAAAGGAAAGAAGAAGAAGAAGAAGAAATGTTCGTTTTTTTTTGGGGCTAAAAACGGCACGAAAGAGACGGATGTTTTGGCTATTGGAAGATTGAAAATAGATATTTGCATATATCTTATAAACACTTAATTCTGTCTACTGAATGAATGGTCTCTGTCTTTGGTCTAAGTCACTCTATTGCTTTCGGTGTGAACCGAGCTTCTTACTTTAAATTGGCTTTTTTCTTTCAACAAAAAAGGAAAAGGTATCTAAAATAATTGATTTTTTTCTGCGGCTGCGTATTTTGACTGTTGACCACTCCAATCCGGATGTCTCTAAACAGGACGGCATGCAAATACAGAGGGAAGAACATAGCGTTCCATGTGAACGAGGGCTCGACAGATTACTGGTTATCCCTTCTCGTTGAATTCGAAGATGGAGACGGTGACATCGGCTCTATGCACATTCGGGAAGTAAGTCTCCTTTGTCCTTATTACAGCTGCATTTTATGAGTAAACAAAGTTAAAAAGTTTTTTCTATTGAGTCAAAGACAGGACAGACGTACGTAAGATTTTTATTTAATTGTAAAAAAAAAAAAAGCAAACTAACGATAGATATTATAACTCCTAATATCACGGAAGCGTTTGGGAATCAAAACATAAACCCAGAGTAAGTGGGCTTACACACGCGCGCCTTTAAAGAGAGATGTGCTTTTCTTTTTTGATAGTATTCCTTTGCATGCTCCCTGTCGTCTCCTCCACCACGTTCTCTACTCCTTTAAACGCATTTTATGAGAAAATAAAATAAAAAAGAAACATTTTGTAGGATAATAATAAAATTTTATTGGTGGGCATCATGAATCTTTGATTGACCAACAAAAGGGATAACCCACTGAAAAGCAAAGTACAGAGAACAGAACAGAACACCCCATCTCCACTTGGTTCCTTTTTTGCTGATAAATCAATTAATTAAAGAGAATGGGGAATGGCGGTGCAGGCAGGTGCGAGGGAATGGGTGGAGATGAAGCACATATGGGGAGCAAACTGGTGCATGAGCGGAGGGCCTCTCAAAGGGCCATTCTCCG